CAAGTCAAGTCCTGAATATGACTTAATCTTCAACCTCCAGCCTGAACATCTGTAACTTCACCATTTCTCAACAAAAATGAAATATGCAAACATGAAAGTTGCTCCATTTTTCCATACGAATCCAACCATATAAATATCATAAGCTATAAATCAAATATGAATGAGAATTTTTAAAAGTACCAAATTCTTACCAAATTATTTTCAGAGATTCAAACCTAAAATTCTCACTACTCAAGAAATATAAATGAAATCTATAGACATGTACAGTTTCAGGGCAATACTGTTTATATTTTATCTTCACAAATGCAAGCCTAACAATGCCTAAATGAGAATATAGAAGTTCAGAAAATGTACCTCAAAACTGGAAATTGTGAAATGGGTTTGAGCTGCTTTCAAGGAGTTGTGATGATCATGTTAGCTTCCTCAAGTTCCCAGGAAGCTAATGCAATGATTAACTTGAGCAATGGATGGTTGGAATGGTCTGGAGAAGTCAATGTGTAGTGCTCTATTTCTGGTTATGGAGTTTGATGTAAATGGTGTTACAGTTATGAAACAGGGTCAGGGATGGGTTATATTTGATGTATAGGAGCTTTAGGAAGTGAAAAGCCAAGAAACGCACGAGGGAAATATGAGTTACAAGTTCAAAGTCATAAACTGTGCAACAATGGTGTTTTTGGGCAATTTTTGGCTTTAGGGAGTTTGAGAGGGTTTCAGGGTGCTTAAGCTCATGTCTTAGCTCACAAATATTGCCTCTATTTATAAGCAACAAGTTTGGAGACTTGTATCTGATCAAAATTCAAAATCACATGTTTAAGCTCAACATGTGATTTTTTGAGAAATCAAGTTTCAATGTCTTGTGTACTTGCTATTGTGGAGTGGTTATGCTTTAAAAAAACTTGCTTCTGACTTTGTATATGGAGTGTAATCATAGGGAACAAGTTAGAGGCTCATGAATTGACTTTGTGCATAAAGATTGCTTTTCAAGAATGGCATTCTTCACTTTCTTCCCAAAATGGCAATTTCATGAACATGTCTTCTTAAAATCATAACTTGAAAACCATACATTTCTAGAAAAAGTTATGTTCTACAATGTTTTAGATATAATTGATATATAAAACTTTCATGTTGGAAGTTTCCTTTGGATCATCTTTCATCATGGTGTAAATTTGGCTTAAAGTTGTGAAAAAAATATAAATTTTCAACAATAGAAAAATTCTAAGTCTTGGAAATTTTGACTTTTCAAAATGAAATCTTGAATTTTTGATTTCTTGATGAACAAGTTTCACATTTTGACATGTTTTTATGAATTGTGATCTTTGACACTTGATTTTGACCAAAAAGTCAAAGTTTGACTTTTCAGTGTACAGTTGACTTTTCATCAGTTGACTGAAAATTCTTCTGTCAATTAGTTGATCTTGAGAGATGTTTTGAGCCATTCCATTAGGTAAAAATGAATCATTTCAATCCTTGATATAATAACTTAAACCAATCAATCATTTTCTAGGTCAAAAGATCAGAAATTGCACTTTCTCAGTCAAAACCCTAATTTTGATCATTTTGCCCTTTTGATGATCTGATCAATTTTCTTGAGGAATTGTGATTCAAACTTGATCAAATGATATATATGAGTTCATAATGTTGATATGAACCAAAAATTATGAAGTTTGACTGTAAATTGACCATAGTTGACTTTTTCCCCAATACAGCTGATTTTAGGTCAACTGATCAATTGACTGAGCAAAAATGTGATCCAAGACTTGAAACTTGACATGAGAAATCTTGAGTGTATAAAATGGTCCATGAAGGTCATATGGGGAATTAAAAGTCCATTTGTCCTTGTGCAAACTCAAACCCTAATTTTCAGTTATTAGTGCTTGAGGAGGTGTCTTGAGCTGATCAACCCTTGTGCAGTCTTGAATCAAAGGAGATCTTATGAGAAATCACTTCAGAAATGAGAGGGGAAATTTTGGGGTACAAAAATTGTGTAGTAACTTGATTCCTCATGTTGTGACGTGAAATTCACGTCGCAAATGAGTGTTTTTTGTAGCGTTAATGATTTCTTTGTTTTTGCAATTTAAGAATTTTTTTGATCCTAACGCTATGATGGTGGAGCTCTGCGATGATTTTCCGAAGTTCAATTGAGCTACTATGATGTTGGAGCGCGCCACTATTGATTGTTATTTATACTTTTCTTTGATTTTTCACATGTTCTTCGTGTTCTATATCTCTACTTACCTTTTCATTGTAACTTTCATAATAAAATGCGATAAACATTGGTTAATTAGAATAATTTCAGCATTTGTTTGATCTTTTATTAAAACCTATACAATCTAAATGTATTAATAGTAAAAAAATTTAAAATCTATAAATTTATAGGCACTATAACAAATAACATTTTTATGACGAAACTTTCACTTTGAACATGCTAAAAAATGAGAGTATAGTTCTTGGGAGTGCCATATTTATGTTTTTTAAAGAAAATAAATAACATTTTCCCTCAGAGTTATAGAAAACTGAGGTAACACAGCTATAAGTGAGAGCCATTTTTTTCATAAAAAAAAATAATAAACCTATTCTCTCGTTTTTTTGGAAAACCGAGGAAATATATCTATAAAGTATCTCGCGTCGAATCTCCATTACCGCATTTCAAGTTTTTTTCAATGATTTATCACTTGGCATGTTTTTCAGATTCCATATTTTTCTTTGTTAATTAGTAATTCTCAAAATCTTTATTATCAATAAACAAGAATAGACAATAATAGAAAAGAAAATATTTCATTGATAATAAAAAAACAGGACAACAAAGATAACTATTCCACATATTCAAACTTCTCACTTCACTCAACTTCAACATTATCTCTAATTATTCCTAACTTAGAGAAAATTCAGAAAGAACTCTTCCATATGGTATGAGGAAAGTCATTTCCTCCCGAGAGATACTTATCATTTTCCTTTAAGAAGTTAAAAGTGGTAGGTCTGAATTACTTCATTATGACTAGCTGGCACAATTGAGGCAATTAAGTAGAACTCTTTAACGAGATTAGTGTAGATAGGACCATGAAGAATGTGAAAGTAATCATTCAACTATTGTTTAGAAAAAGCTTTCCTTAGATCAAAACATTTTTCTTGCAAATCATCGAAATCAACAAACTTTTCATTGATAACGAACAAAAGATTTACATTCATTTTTGAATTAAAAAAATCTTTGAAACAAGGTTTTAAGACACAAAGAGTTGAAAATGAGACGTTGAAAATAGGAAAAGAACTTGAAACAAGGTTTGGAGATACAAAGAGTTAAATATGAGACGTTTAAATAGCTCAAAAGCATCCTTGAAATTCCAAAGGATACATTACGTTTTGAATATAGATCATCATTTCTATATCAGTGATATGATTACAATGCGTGCACCGTATTTTAGAAATAAAACTACATCTTACATCAGATTTTATCATAACCAAGGGGGAAAATAATACAGGAACCTCTCTTTTATTTATATTTTTTATTTGTAAATTAAATGATCTATCATGTACTTTTCATAATAATCGAGGGGATAATTTAGCGTTAAAATTGAAGATATTTATCTTCGTCCTTAAACAAATCTTTGTCGTGCATTTCATGACTATCTACGCTCAAGACAGTAACATTAGTGATTTGCGTGAAACATAAATAACTTTCATTATAAAAGTATTCTGAATATTAAAAATTGATAATGAAACAGCATGAAGCGCTTGAAAATATCCTCCAAAGTTTACAAGATTGTTTGCCATAAAGAGTTTTATATGATGGATTGGAAGAGCATAAAATTATTTGGGTTTAAGGTTCGTGTTCTTAAATATTTGTTTGAGCATGCAAATATTTATTTATCTAACCCTTTTTTTTGTTCATATCCAAAACAAGTACAAGTAAAAGCAATTGAAAATATCCTCCTACCCAATATTTGATCTTCTCTAGAATATCAAAGATTCGAAGATCCAACGTATGATCTTCATGGACAAATTAATTTTTATTTTATTATTCTATGTAAATAATGTAATATTCTGAATAAAAATTGTAGTTTGTAAACAAATTGTTTTATTAATTTTTTGTGTAAAAAAAAGTAACAAGTTTCAATTAAAAAATAATTTATCTGATCCCTCAGTTTTATTGTTTAACCAAGATGTATGAGGCGCTAGTTTTATAGATAAAAAGTGCGGTTGATGAGATTCGAAACTATATGTAAATAAATTTACTCTTGAGTGTTTCAAAAATCGAGGTGTTAAATCATTACTTTTCACAACATCCTTTGATATCTTATTTATTTAGCCAAAATAAAATACATTTCACATTCGATGTTAAAAACGCTTTATGTAATAGAGAGGTATTAAAAAGATGGTGTGACGGCAGATAGTTCATCTCAACTCATTTTAAATTTATCTATAATTTAATGTAGCCGTTGAAATGAAAAAAATTAATCATTCATATATATAACTTCTATACGTATCTAATGGAATATAAGTTATGCAAATATGATCCGAGTCATCCACAACTCAATATTTGTATAATCCACAAGATGGACAATGATTATGATATAACAATCCCCAAGTGCGACAATAATTAATTACATTAACCAGCAACTCTCTAGGTCCTAGAAATGGTCTACTTTAGCTAATTTTAGACACCCCAATGTGTATCAACCTTTTCAAATTTACCTCAAAATACCAATTAACCTAATTATAGAAAAATTTCTTTCATGTAAAACATCACAAGAAATGAAAAGGAATTAGTGGTAGATAGTGTTTCAAACCATTCCTAAAATTAACTCCGATGTTTACGACAACAACTATGTACCTATAAAGACGTTCTTTGGATGGATGATATTCATTGTAAATCACCTATAAAAACCACATCAATGTCCCATAGCATAGCAAGATCTCCAATAAGAAAGCCTCCCCTGCTTAATAATCAATAAAAGGGGAGGATTCAACTATATTTTCGAGCTGAAAAAAAGAATTAAATAAATATGGAGGGAAAGGTAGCTATCTCAGTTGTTTCTCTTATCCTCGTCATAGGTGTTGCCATCGGCGTTGTTGTCGTTGTTCACAAATCTGGTGATCCTCAGATCCAAGCTCAACAAAAAAATGTTGAAATTATGTGTCAAAGTGCAGAAGATAAAAATCTTTGCCATGACACTCTTAAATCCGTTAGTGGCTTAGACTCCGCAGATCCAAAGGCATACATAGCAGCCGCCGTGAAAGCCACCACTGACAGTGTCATCAGGGCTTTCAACATGAGTGACAGACTCACCACCGAGTACGGTAGCAAAGATAATGGCATCAAGATGGCCCTTGATGACTGCAAAGATTTGTTGGAGTTTGCCATGGACAGTCTCGAAATGTCCACCAATTTGCTACGTGACAGCAACATTCAAGGTGTGCATTCCCAATCTCCTGATATCAGGAATTGGTTGAGTGCAGTTATCTCTTACCAACAAAGTTGCATGGAAGGATTTGACGATGCAAAAGATGGTGAGAAAAAGATCAAGCAACAATTTCAAATAGAGTCTTTGGACAGCGTACAAAAGGTCACCGGTGTTGCACTTGATATCATGAGTGCTTTGTCCAACATCCTTGAACAATTCAACTTGAAGTTTGATCTTAAACCTGCTTCTCGTCGTCTTCTTGCTGAGGATATCGATGACGAAGGATTCCCTTCATGGTTCTCGGGATCTGATCGTAAGCTTTTAGCTGGCATGCGAGGAAAGGGATGGAGATCAAAAGTAACCCCTAATGCTATTGTTGCCAAGGATGGTAGCGGCCAATTTAAAACCATTAAGGATGCTATTGCCTCTTACCCTAGCGGAAACAAAGGAAGATATGTTATCTACGTTAAGGCCGGTGTCTATGACGAGTACATCACCATCCCCAAGAGTGCTGCTAACATTCTTATGTATGGTGATGGCCCTCTAAGAACCATTGTCACCGGTAAAAAGTGTTTTGCTAATGGTGTCAAGACCATGCAAACCGCCACCTTCGGTAATAAAATGTCATTAAATTTTTCATTTCGTTAACAAAAAGAGTGTTTTTTATAATACTAATTGATCTTATGCATGCATGCAGCCAACACCGCACCTGGATTCATCGCAAAGGCAATGAAATTCGAGAACACAGCCGGTCCTGACGGTCACCAAGCCGTAGCTTTGAGAAACCAAGGAGATATGTCTGCCTTCGTCGGTTGCCACATCATTGGTTATCAAGACACATTGTACGTTCAAACCAACAGACAATTCTACCGCAACTGTGTTATTTCAGGAACAATCGATTTCATCTTCGGAACATCACCTACCTTGATTCAAAAATCCGTGATCATCGTCAGGAAGCCTAACATGAATCAATTCAACACAGTTACCGCAGACGGAACAGTCGAGAAGAACATGATTACAGGTATTGTGATCCAAGATTGCCAGATCGTTCCAGAAGCAGAATTGTTTCCAGTGAGATTCCAAATCAAATCATACTTGGGAAGACCATGGAAGGCTCACTCAACGACAGTTGTGATGGAATCCACCATTGGTGACTTCCTTCATCCAGATGGTTGGGTCCTATGGTCAGGTGAAACCTTTGAAAACACATGTTACTATGCTGAATATGCCAACACTGGACCTGGTGCCGATGTTAGCAAGAGGATCAAGTGGAAGGGTTATCATGGTGTCATTAGCAAAGCTGAAGCTACACAATTCACAGCTGCTCAGTTCCTTAGGGCTGGACCTAATTCTAGACCTGAATGGTTGACGTTTATGAATGGACTTCGTATTCCTCACTATCTTGGCTTCAAAGCTTGAAAATATTTAGACATCTGAATAGGTCAGATGGCACAACACAAATTGTCATTCTTTGTAATTATCTTTCCTATTTTTTTGTCTAGGAGATCAACCAGAAATACCAAAATTTGCTCGATTATAGTATATAACGTTTCACTTTTTTTTTTAAATCTTTGTATTCATTTTATATTTCATCAATCAATTATAAATCTATCTATATTATATAATATATTAAATCCAATACATCGAATAATATAAAAACACATTATCATTTATAATTTTTAAATTTATCACATTATTATATAGTTTTATGCGAAACATTTTAAATTAAAAATATTATTTCATATTACAAAAATAAAAGAGATGTGAAAATCAAAACATAATAAAATATTTTTTATTTTTTTAAAAATCTAATAATAAAAATAACACTTAAAATAATTTTTTTAAATCTTAAATAATTCTTATCTATTTTTCAAATATAAGTGACTTTAAATTTATTTTCAAATATCATAATTTTGAGATGTTATTATCATATGGCATAACATATAACATGTTATTGTTTATTGTTTCTCTACTTAAATATTTATACACAATGGTTGTAATAAATAGTTAAAGAGCTTAAATATAAATTTATAATAATAAATCTTCTGAAAATTTTTATGTAATCCCAAAAGAATAATAACACTAAAGAAGATTGATTTTTTTATGGAATTGACTCACACTAAGTTATGAGTTTAATTTTCGTTACGAATGCGAGACGTCATTGATAAATAATTTATAAATATTTTTGATAATTGATAAAATATTATGAATATAAAACAATTTTTTGTTTATATTGTAAAACTAAATTCAAAAGGTAATTTTTTGTATTGTCTAATTTTTCTTCTTGTTAATGGTTTTTTAACTAAAAATGTGAAAATAATATAAACGTTTTAATCTATATAAAATATCTCAACACTATATTTATGTTATATTTTTATAGGTTGCAAGATGTTAGATTTTGTATATGGTATATCAAAAAGAATAAATTAATATTCAAAAAAATTGTAAACTAACACTTTAAAATGAAAGTGATTATAATATTTTTTTTAAGTTTTCTTTTATTGTTTGTCATTTCATTGTACTTTATTCTTAATGATGTTATAAAATTTGTTTATTTAAGAAATCAATATAAGAAAAGTTTAAAATATATGAAGTAAGAAGTATAAAAAATATAATTAAAGAAAAAGTTAGTAAGTAATTTTAATACTTACTTAATATTAATTATATTAAAGTATATAATAATTAATCATATTTTTAATTAAATTTAAAATACTATAATCATTAACCAATGATGAGATAAAGGTTTTTTTAATAAATAATTTAAAATTAAATAATTAAAAAAAAGTTAAAGAAATATTTAAAATCATTAAAATTATATAAATAATTGAAAGTTATTTTATTCCTTAAAACATTTACATCTATAAATAAATTTTCTTCAAACTCTTAATAAACATAGATATAATCATTTTCTAAAAATTATCTTCTAAAATTTAATTCTTAAACTTGAAACAATCATATATTTATTTATTCATTAAAGAAATAGTTAGTTAGTGGGACATTACTTTTTATTAAATAATTTGAAAAGCCCAGGCGCTTCATATTGTTTTCTTTTTCAAATAGCAATTAGTGATTACAAAAACTACAAATATTTTATTTTTGCAATAACAAAATTATTATTGCATGGGAATTTGAATTACCATTAATGATAAAAAATTTACAAATTTAATTTATATTTTTAGTAATACAATATTACATATAATATTTTCTACACTTTCAATTAAAAAGTAAATGAACTATTTAATTTATATTTTTAGTAATACAATATTACATATTGAAGAACCCTTATAAATAAAATCTGTTAGTTGTGAAAATGTGAAATTGTCCTATTATTTTTTTACATAACTAACCGCTTGAATTTACTGTATTTGGTTCTTAAACGTGGTCACAAAGTAAAAGTGACAATGATCACGTTTTTGTTTTATTTGAATTTATTTAATTATTTAAATTGATGCAAGGGTTTTAAGGATCCACGTTTTATTTTTAAAATTTTTATGGAAAGAGATTTTAATGAAGGTTTTGTAGTGTCCTATTTTTTAGCTATAAACTTAAAAAATCGTTTTCTTATTTGGCAGTTTTATTCATTAATTAAATATTGTGTAATTGAGATATTGGGAAGGTGAATGGTAACTTGAGAACGTGGTTAGTTTTTGTGCAACATTTTTTTTGTTATTAAGGAACTAATAAATAATTGGAAGCAAAACTATAAAATAATTAAATAAAATAAATTAGAGAAATTACAACAAAAAAATTGGAAAGGTGAATGGTAAATTGAGAAGGTTATGGACTAGTCCAATAGTTAGAGTGGGCTCGGTCTACTTTTATCTCTGGTGTGTCTCATACAATCATGGCCCATTAGTCTTGGCTTTCTGTCGAATATCTCTGGTCGATTGCTCTCCACAGTCAACAAGTCCAACAACGTCCTCAGGCTAGAAACATGTCCCAATCAGTGGATATCTCTCCGTCTTCCTGACACGAGTCGAGCTGACAACCAGGAACTGACTAGAATGCATCTCTGCTTGTAATTCGCCTCCTCCTCGGAACAAACGTCTAGTTACGGACACGACAGCCCATTTTGACCAAGTCCTGGCAATTACCTATTTTCACGGACGCTCATATCTAGACCCAAAAATATGGACCAATGGCTAAGCGCTGAGGGTATTATATAAACCATCACACATGTGAGGGGCATGTATCTAATATTCAAACCTTAAACCCTAATTTCTTGCTTGTATCTCTTTGCACTCACTCTTACTTGATCGTCGGAGTGCCTTGCACGTACAACCCTCATTTCTCCTAAACTTTCCAGCAAACCAGACGTCATCCTTCGGCCCATTTGCAGGTTCTGATCAACCGGTAAGATCAGTGGCGCCGTCTGTGGGAAACTATCTTCCCTGTCTTCCTTTTTCTCAAATCTGAAGACTAAACTACTCTAATCATGGCCGACCATGACGTTCATCACCTCTCTGGAAAGACTATACATTCTCCCATTCACAAGAGCGACTGAAGCCAGGAGCATCCTCACCTCGAGGATGACCTCGATGCTAGAGATGGACAGAATGCATCCCCAGATTCAATCGACGCCGAGCGCGACAACCTCCAGTTCTTGGACGAGCAGAGGCCCAAGAACCCTACCGAGGAGCTTCTAGAGATCTTGCAACCAGTTCCTATTCCTCAGAATTTCGATCCGACCATGGCAACATTGCTCGCTGCCCTCAACCAGGTCAACGCCCTTATCCTCCAGCAGAGCAAGAGGATGGGAGAGTGGGAGAAGAAGCTGTCAAAGTCTCCTCCTCGGAGACACCGACGATACGACTCCCATAGCCTATCTCCACCTAGGTGTGGTCATCCAAACAAAAGGGAGAAGTAGGATCTCAAGAAACACGATCGCACGCCTCCTAGGAAAGAACAGGCCTCTCCATCTTCTAAGAAGACAAAGAGCAACCGCTAACTTGATCGCGACCGATCACCGTCGCCCAAGCCAAGGCAACATTGAAGAAGTGTATCCCCCCGCCGAGACAACGACGCTGGACGGGGAAGGAACAATCATTCCTCGCCATATCCTGAGGGAAGCGACGACGACGAGCCACGAGGCATGTTATCAAGAGAGATTATAGATACCCCGCTCCCAGTCGTCCTCGAGAAGTCGCTCCTGCTGGGAACATACGATGGTACAATTGATCCCGATGAACATATATAAAATATTGATGCCCTACTCGACTACCGAGGAGTTAAGGGCGCCATCAAATATAGACTGTTCCCAACTACCTTGAGGAAATGTGCCATGTCTTGGTACAGAAGTCTTCTAGACGAATCTATCACCTCCTGGAAGCAGTTGGGGAAGAGGTTCTCAAGGCACTTCATAGCATCTCGTCGATATCCCAAGTCAGAAGCATCACTAGAAGCAATCATCCAAGGGATGTTGAGTTTCTTCGGACTTATATCGAGCGCTTCAACAAGGAAGCCGTGCAGGTCTCTACAGCCGACAGTATGAAAAAAATATCTCCTCGAGCATGGGCTCTGTCCCTGCAGTGACTTCACCAAAGTTTTTGGCATCGAGACTCCAGCCATGCTCGACTTCCTCCTACTTAAAGCCCAAGCGTACATCCAGTACGAAGAGAAGGATGCAGCTAACAACACAAGGGACTCAGGGCATAGGGAGAATGTCAAGGTCTCAGAGAATGATGAGCCCTAGAAATCCCGTCGGGGGGAGAGAAGAAGAGGGAGGATAAGTCCTGAGACTCTAAAGACTAATGGGGTCCAGTTGGTCGCTTTCATGACTACACCCCCCTCAATGCCTCTCGCGAGCGTATTTTGACAGAATGCACCAATTCAAAATACAAGCAAGTCGGGGTACGCTTTCCCCTCTAAAAATCGTCCAAGCCTGGGACGGAGAAAAGAAAATAATGCAGGTTCCACGAGAGCCACAGGCACAACACTGGCGACTGCATCCACCTCAAATATGAGATTCAGATATTTATCCGGGACGAGCATCTCAAACAATACAAGAAGAAGAAGAGTGCTTGCGAAGAGGCTTAAGAAGCAAAAAAATGTAGAAGAATGGAAGGAATCCCCTGAAGCAAGCCTCATCCTGGTCGCTCTGAGCATCACAAGGCCGAAGGATTTCTACTTTCCCGACATGGAAGAGGTCTCCATGTACTTCTCTTCACATAGTCCTTGGGAATCCTTCCCGGCAGTAATGGCCATCTCCGGCGGTGGGATTCAACAAATGCACGACAAATTCAATAAAAAGGAGGTTCGAGCAGCTGCAGCTAATAGAGGCCAACTATGACATGGACACCACCCTCGACAGATGTAGGGGAGGCTCTCATCCCCTTGTATTTTACTAGGAAGATCTACCGGGAGGAGCCCCCAACTCAAGCATCCCTCTACTCGTATCGACACACATGGAAAACTTTGAT